ACACTGCTGTATTTGAGAGGAGATTGGACACATCGTATATTACAGATGGATTAGTGTTTGGCTGGTTAATTGTTTTAAGTTGGGTCATTTTAACAATCGCTTTTTATTTTTTTCTACATGACGTCTCATTTTTTCAAACAAATCTCCGGAATTGTCGTGTGGATAATGTTACACAGGCGACTTTCAATTACATAACTAGACTTTGTTTAGCTATTACCGTTTTAAGTGTAAATCAAGTATCCCAATTGTGTAGCGTTATTTTAAATAAAACATTTACAAAAATGTATAGTTATGTCTACAGTTTATTTTGTAGAGTTTAAACGTTGTTTTAAATAAAACATTTACAAGTATATTTATCTGTTTAGTTCAAGCGTTATTTAAAATGACATTATAGAGTCAAGGTTCTACCACAACCATCAAATTAACCTTACATATATAGGCCTACCTATTTCATATTTGGGACATAGAACAGTGTATAGATGGAATAGCGTTAGCGTAACTATGACATCAATAAAACAACTACCAAATATATGTTTTATGCGTCCACGATTTCTAACGGTCGCCTCTCTATCACAAAACACGTTTTGACTATGCATTCATTAACCTCTAGGTCAGGGGTTCACAACCTTTTTTTACTCTAGAGCACATTTTAAAATATCGGTAGGGTGGCGGGCACCACCAATTTTAAATCGACAAACTCCTTTCATAACTTGTCATCTTCCCATAATTTATTTTCTTTTAATTATTTTCTTATAGTCATAATGTATTAATGAATAACGAGCCGACCCGCAGCGTATCATACGCCGCTATTTAGTTGTTTTATTTTCTACTTTTCAGTAATTCATAATTTGTGAATTCGACAGTACCAATGCTGCCACTGAAAATATTTGCTTTAAAACACTAACCCCCCTTTCCCCTAACCCCGACCCTACACCCCTCCCCACCCCCCCCCCCACCCCGTGAAAGCAGCCTTCTCTTAGTTATTTCTTAGTTACCTCCTGTAAGTTTAAAATCGAACTAAATTATCTGCCCCTAATAGAAACCCGGCTCTACGGCTCTAAGATTTGCAAACATTTAGCTTTGTAAACATTTAGCGTGACCACAACTCACCAGACAATGTGGGGGTGGGGTGGGAGTGGTAGTGATAGTGATAGAGAGAAAGAGAGGGGACTGCAAGGAGGCGCTTGCAGCTTGTTTTCTAACGGCTCCCAGAAGAGAATTATATATATATAGATAAACAAAAATGTTTCAAAATAATACAATTATTTGGCTTTTTTTTCAAATTGCGTTGGCCTACACACAGAGAAATATATTTACAAAAAGTAAATAGTGCAGTCTAGCTCGCCGCTAGACAAGTTGGGACAAGTATCAAACATATTTAATAAACCTATGCAGTAAAAAAAATTAAAAATGCAACAAATGAATAAAAAAATCATATTTAAAAATAACGTTTATGAAAATAAATCTGTCTTTGGCGAATAGTGAGAAGCGGGCACATACGAATCGTTCAGCGGGCGCCATGGCGCCCGCGGGCACAGGGTTGGGAACCCCTGCTCTAGGTATTCACAATTTAATAAATCCAATACAAATCCAGCACCAGCACGTTTACGCCGTACACAAAATAGATATGTAGATTTTACTCGTGATCAGATTCCAAAATCTTACACGTACATTCTAACATTAATACAATAATCCTTCATTAAGCAGGCTTATTTAATATTGTTTATTTCATAAATATATTGAAAATAATCTCCCATGAATGTAAAGTAATATAAAAATTTAATTTTAAATAATCGAATTCCAAAATCTTACAAGTACATTCTAACGTTAAACTCAGATAATACAATAATCCTTCATTAAGCAGGCTTATTTAATATTATTTATTTAATAAATAAATATTTATGGTTATGTAGGAAGTATTTGACTGCTCGACAATGGAACTTTGGCTATGCAACAAGTATATGTTTTCTTGACAATGGAACTTATGCCAGTTATAAAGTATTTGGCTGTTATATAATGATAATAGGTGTTGGTTTGTAGAAAATGAAAATGGAAGATATATGCAGTAACGTTAAGGGAAAATTACTTTTAAAATATCGTTTTATAAAAAACGTTTATTTTTTTTAAAGAGATTTTCTCGCTTTATATATATATATATATATATATATATATATATATATATATATATATATATATATATATATATATATATATATATATATATATATATATATATATATTTATTTATAAATATATTTATATATATGTAATTATATCGAGTTTTTGCACGAATAAGAATGGGGGACTGTGTATTTAAAAAAAATGTATGCACAATTAGTTATTGAAGCACATGTGTATTCATTGCCTGACTAAGAGCTTTACTAACGTGTAGAATTATAGTACTATCAACTACAACTACTGTAAAGTACCTAAAAATGCACTAAAGTAACTACAGCTTCAGTATTTAAAAAAGGGAAATAAGTCATTGAAGTGGTTTGAACGTTTTCTTACTAATAAGGAGAAAGAGGACTCGGCTTTCACAGTGGTTTAAAAACAAAGGGAAAAAGAATATACAAGAGCGTGGGTTGGTGTCTATAAAATAAAGATAACCCAACCGCAGCTACGGTAATCTTTTTACAAAACAACCATCAAGTCAAAAATGCAAGAAATTTTTTTTTAAATGTAGGCTAATTATAAAAAAATTATTATGGCTATGGTCGGCTGTGGGCCCCTAAATGGCGTGCCCCCCCCCCCCCCCCCCCGCATTGCGGGGTCTGGCGGCACTGTAGTTCCGCCCCTGCATATGCCCCCACCACACACATAACATATTTCCCCACCACGCATAACATGTTTCCCCACCACACACATAACATGTTTCCCCACCACACACATAACATGTTTCCCCACCACACACACAACATATGCCACCATCCACACACACAACATATGCCCCCACCACACACACAATATAAGATCCCACCAAACACAACATATGCCCCCACCACACAAAAAATATGCCCCCACTACACACATATGCTACCTTACTACACGGAGGTCAAGAAACATATGCCCTATGGATGTTAATTTTAAAGTGGAACCTTTATGTCAGAGGCTACTAATTTTTACAATATCTACGACTGACTGTATTCGTAAATGCATCTGCTCACCATTAACTTTAAAACGTATTCTATATTTTCATGAAACTGCTTCGAGACTACTATTCACTCATCAAATACATTGAATGTAATTCCTACAGGTAAAGTCATCCACTTAACAGTCCCAACCAACGGACACGGCATATCAGGCAACATCCGGTCACATCATGTGGCATCAGTGTCCAGTGGACAGGGTGAGAGGCATGGAGGGCAGCACATATATGCAAACGATCGGAAATTGAATTAAGATTTTCATTATTTCACCCTACATCTGTCTCCTCCACGTCAGATTATTACATGTGTAGAATCGGCTCGAATAAGGACATCGTTGTATCGTACAGATATGCAAAGAGTCTTTTCACATGCGGGTAATAAGCAATTTAATCATTTTACTCATGCCTTGCATGTAGGATGTGTTGTGTTTTAGCAGCACTTGATTACATTTTTAATTGTAGACACAGACGATTAGAGAATTTATACTTATTGTACATCTATATTTAATCTGCTGTAAAACCTGCATTAAAACAACATTTTTCGTTGCAATAGGGGTCGGCTTGGTCGAGTCGGTAAAGCTCATGGTTGCTAAACCGAAAAGTCTCGAGTTCGAAACATCGGGCAGATGAGGCTCGTTAGCTGGTGACAGCCACTCTTTTTGGAGAGACAACTCCAAAATCAAACAAATGCTGCATCGTATCGTGTTCTTGGTTGGACAAAGGTTTGGCAAGAAAATCCAAAAAGAGAAGCAGGCTGAAATCGGAGTCAACGGCCTATATGGCGCACAACAATTTGACACGTATACTTAATAGTCTTGGGGGAATCTCTTCTAACACTAAAATTAAGAACGCAGAAGTTACATCAGTTTAAAGTAACCCACATCAGTTTAAAAAACCCATGTAGCACTAAATCTACATGATAAAATTCGTTCGACTTACTATTGTCATGGAAATTCGACTATCACGCACTCACAAACTGTAGACCTAGCTATTTTTAAAGCTTTCTTTTATTTTCAATCTACAATAAGTGCGGTGCTTGAGTATTAAAATTAAATAATGAATTCTTATCAATAGCTTGGCAGGAAGACTAGGGGAGGGTTACCTTCTGGAATATGTAAGCTCCCTCCTATGCCATCCACCACTTGCGAATACACCCGAGGCTTTGCTTTGATCACCTCCCAAAACCATCACAGCACACCCCTCAGTGAACTACCTCAACTTGTGTGAGAACCATTGATCTACAGCAGGGGTCTCCAAACTACGGCCCGCAGGCCGTATGCGGCCCGCGATGTCCTCCCATTCGGCCCGCGGAGATCTTTTTGTGCACGGAAAAAAACGTTTGATGGTGATGGCTGAGGAACTTTGCCCACAAAAATCAAAGACATGCCTGGAAGATACTGGCCCCCGAACTGAAATTTAATAGTTAAAGCGGCCCTCGGACTGAAAAGTTTGGAGACCCCTGATGTACAGTATCGCATACACTCAGTTTCCTTTTTAAATTAATCATTACATTGAGTGCAGGCTGTTTCATCGGTCTGCTAACTACGTTATCTGTGTACTACAAAAGCGGTATGTATTTTTGTATTTATTATAACATAAATTAAACTTGTGGGTGCAAGAACGATTTGTGTAAGTACAGTTCCGCTTTCAGACCTAAAGATTCATAAGGTAAATGTAACAGAGGTCATATTTTATGTTCATGACATCTTCTTACAAAAGGATGGTGTAATCAGCACCATGCTTATATGCATTTACTTTCACTAACTTGAATCACGATCCCGTCAGAGTTGCTTGACTAAGGGATGTTAGTCTTAAATCCGGACCGAGATCCGAACCCTTGATCTTTGGGTTAGTGTCGAGCGTTCTACCACTTAGCCACGACGTCCCAAAAAAAATGGGTCCCAAAAAAAATGGGTTCCATAAAATACCAAAAAATGCAGAGCCAAAAAAACGTGCATTTGTACATTGTCATACTTGCTATAGACATCCCGGAAACTAGTACGTTGTTGCCTATCATACCTTGAGTTATTTATCTATGGCCAGAGTATTGAAATTATAAATTGAAACACATCCCTTTCATGGCGCGCTTACAATGTGATAGAGAGTAGTTTTCAAAGGTAAACAAGTATGATGAGTATAGTTGGTGTTTTTTTTTTAATTAGTGATTTCATTCCTGCTGTGAGTGTGGCCTACCCCAAACCTGATCCAAAGCAAAAAATGTTTAACACAGACCTAACTGCATATAGTGCATTTTACTTGGCGTAAATCCATGCTTTAATATTTTACGTGGCGTAAATCCATGCTTTAACATTTTACTCGGCGTAAATCCATGCTTTAATCAGATATGGCTGATCTTTGGGAAAGGCAACTAACCACTCTTCACATTTTAGTACCAATTTCACTTAAACTGACAGACGAATTTTATCTTCTACGTTGCCTGTTGGATCCGGGATGATTTCTCTTGTCTGACATTAGGGTGATCTTTCTCTTCGCTGAGCCTCTCTTTGATATAACTTTTCTCCAGGTCTGTGAATTAAAAGTTCTTCAAAATGTATCTATTTCCAATTGCCAGGCCTCTGTTTCAAACTGACTTTTGTAAAGCCTCTATTAAAAAACTGAAACAGGGACGATCAGTCTGAATAAACATGCACGTTGTACAATTAAAACCGTGTTTTAACTATCTTTGATATATTTCTCTCTGTCTCTCTGTCTCTCTGTCTCTCTATTTTGCTAGTCACAAAGTATTTTACCTATATTTCGTATGTATTTTAGCATACATTTTTGCAGCTTTAAAAAATATCCTCCAAATTTAATTGTAAAAGTGTTAGTAAAACATAAATTAATTTTTGTTCGAATTTTAATTTATTAAATCTGATCAATCCACAGTGGCCACTCCTCAACATGACCTTTCGAGGATGCATGACGTTTTTGGTCTTAAATTGTTTCATCCGTCTGGTGTCTATGAAAGACGAGAAACCTGCCAACATATACGAAATTCCTGACAGAGAGAAAAGTAAACTTTCAGATATTTCATTTTTTTTTTAAATCTGATTTTCTTGTTCTTATTATTTGTTTGAATCTCTATATTCTTTAGACAGAATGCATGGCACTTTACGATTGTAATAGTATCTTAAATCTGATTTTCTTGTTCTTATTATTTGTTTGAATCTCTATATTCTTTAGACAAAATGCATGGCACTTTACGATTGTAATAGTATCTTAAATCTGATTTTCTTATTTATATAATTTGCTTGAGCCTCTATGTTCTTTAGACAGAATGAATGACGCTTTACGATTGTAATAACAGCTTTGAATATCACTCAAACAATGTGTCTGTCGAATAGATTTTTTGTTGTTCACTATTCTCTCCAAAAAATTGGTCAGAATCTCGATTCAAACCAGATTTGATTAGAACAATATCTGTATTTGTTTTAAATGTTATCATTTTTGGCATGTTGATCTGTATTTTAGGCTGCCGTCTAGGGAAGTGGGGTGAAAATTGTGAATTTACGTGCGATCGTAACAACACCTGCATCATTAGAGGCAATTGCAATAGGATGGACGGGGCTTGTACTGGTGGTTGTATTGCTGGATATCAACCTCCATTTTGTAACAAACGTAAGCAGAGATTAGTTGGGATAAACACTAGCAATACTGTATATCTCGACTGAAAAGGGCTTATTTAATATAGGATATTTAATAATGTAATGACATGTAACACATCTCAATGGTAATTTTCGAGCAATCATTCCTAATGTATAATGCGCATTTCTTCCTCTCGTTTTTCGTCACCTTTTTGTCCAAAGCCATGAGATCATTACGTAAAGCTCATGGTTGCTAAACCGAAAAGTCTCGAGTTCGAACCCTCGGGCAGATGAGGCTCAGCTGAGGACAGCCACTCTTCTAGGAGAGACAACTCCAAAATCAAACAACTCCTGCCTTGTAGTTTGTTCTTGGTTGGACAAAGGCTATGGAAGCAAATCCAAAAAAAAGCAGGCTGAAATTGGAGTCAATGGCGTCAATGGCGCATAACCAGTTGACACGTAATCCTTAATTGTGATGGAAGCATGGTCGAGTCGGCAAAAAACTCATGGTTGATAAATTCGAAAAAAAAGTCTCGAATCAAACCCTCTGGCAGATAAGGCTCGATCCCTCCCAACATTAAAAATTAAGAACGAAGAAGAAGAAGATGTTTAGAAATATGTGTAGAACATTATATTACGTTACTTATGTATATTTATATATGCTGGTTATACTAAATATATAAACTAACTTTTATTCAAAGACCCTAAACCATACTACACATATTCGAAAGTGAATAAAACTCCGAACAGAATACTTTACATTCATTTTTCAATTCAAACATAGCGTCTTCAAAATTCACCCGTACTTCCCTTCAGCTACCTGTCAACATGTGTTGATTGATCTCCACCCCCCCCCCCCCCCCCACCCCCGCATGTGATTAGGTTTACTACTTTATTCAACTGACTAAAAACCAACAGGTAGTGTAAGCCCTTGACTCACCAGTGAGCATTATGGCGCCTACATTTTTTTTTAAAGAGCACCCTACACTTGAAACACAACGGGCCACCTCATTATGTGAATAAACTAAACCAAGAGTTGCATTCCGGCATTTGTCCCATTCAGGCATTTGTCCCATTCGGGCAGTTGTGGCATTTGGGCAAGTGTCCATTCGGGTAAGATTATATTTGCCACGTTTCAAGATTATTGTTTCTAGATTATAGTTGCCAAGTTTCAAGATTATAGTTGCCAAGTTTCTAGATTATTGTTGCCATGTTTCTAGATTGTAGTTGCCAAGTTTCAAGATTATAGTTGCCAAGTTTCAAGATTATAGTTGTCAAGTTTCTAAATTATAGTTGTCAAGTTTCTAGATTACATTGCGGATCTTAGAAAAGACGTGATAAATGAATTATCTGATGGCGACTGAAATATTATATGGCGCTATCAAACGATTTTTCTTTTCAAAATTAGGAATGTCAAGCCATTTACATGTTCTAATATCATCGTAAAAAACGTACCATGTTTCCTGGTCCTAGGTAGTTGGGACCAAACTGAATAAGAAATGCTATTGTATTTTTATTTTAGGTATTGGTTTTTTAGTCATTTGGTAACTAACATTGGTAACATTACGCAGAAGAATAAAATGAATGCATTATTACTTTAAAAGAACAACTTACAGTCTGTAAATTAGCATAACAAACTGCTTGAGCTTGCATTGTGTTTATGCTACTTAAGCTTTAACAATTTTATATTTAGCCTATTAGAATTACTATCCAACGGATTTTCATTAATATCAAATTTTGCACGATTTTTACACACATAAGTAGGCAACTTTGAAGTTTCATTAAAACCACAGTTCTAATAGGGCTGGTAAGTAGATCACCAACCAGTTGTATGGCTCATGCAGGTTTTATTGAGCCGTAGAACTGGGTGGTGACCTACTTACCAGCCCTATTGTACTTTAGCATAAACAAATATATTCTGCCTGTAACAATGGGGATGACATTTCAGCGTGCAGTCGAAGGACATGGGGTATCAGCTGCTCCACGCCTTGCCCAGATTCCTGTTTGGACACCTGCGACCGTGAAAAAGGCTTTTGTATTGGGCGCTGTAAGCCAGGACACCAGTGTTTGAAAAGTAAAAATGTATTATCAGACTACAATGTAGAGTGACAACGTATACGACATCTCAATGAATTTTTGTTTGGTTAGAATTATCACGCTCTATATATTTTTTTAAAGACCGAAATACGCAAATGAATACATGATAACTATTACAAAATCCTTCATCATGGGGCAGATGAAGTGGAGTTTATCTGTTTTCCTGTGGTCAGCACTGTGCCCAGTCGCCTCAGTTTTGCAAGCGTTAGTCAGGTACCCATTAGAGCTGTGTGACTCAGGGACGTCCCACGGACTAGGGCAAGGGTTCCATGCAGTCCAAATCTCTGTCATTCGACCTGGCCCTCCCTATAGAAATGGCCTGAGAAAAATAAAAATTGCCGTTTAGATGCGCAATAAAGTAATAAAATAAAAACAAATACCAATCTAAACACATTTATTCTATAATACAAAAACTGAAATGAATGACTCTTACAGGTCAACATATTATCAAAGTAAAATAATAATTAACATTTTAGTAAAATTAAAAAATCTATGTTGCGATATTTGCAATATTACATTATCTTTGAATCACAATGAAAAATGAAAATCAAAGAATACTAATTGTACTTTTTACGCGCAGTAAGTAACATACACAAAAGATACAGCAAACCTGCTCATATATTCTCATAATAAAATATATTCCTTTAAACAATGTTGAAAATGTTTTGCATAGAAACAAGCTTTTTTTTATAACGCTTAGCATTCAACAATAGGAAAGTTTATTTCAAATGTTCCCCTAATGAACCTTTTTTTAAAATAAGTTTTAGAGTGCGATGCGCGAACTTGGGGAATTGAATGTGAGAAGAAATGCGGCGATGGATGTGTATTCAAATGTGATCGTTTTAACGGCACCTGTCTCGAGGGTAATTATAACTTGGTCAGACTTCAATGTGTTAATTTTTTTAAAAGCTCATTTAGTTAATTATGTAATGAAGTGTGTTACTGCTGTTAAATCTAGGTTTAACAGTAAGAAAGCTTATTGTATATATTTTATAATCATAGCAATTTATTTAGATTGATTCAAAGAATATTTATTTTTAAAAATCACCAAAATTATTTTAAAGATAGAAATTTTGCTATTTCAATAAGTAAATACAAAAATACACACGTGATTTTTTTTTTTTTTTAACGAGTCAAACTAGAGTAGTTTAATGATTCCGTGTGAAGCTTTAACCATGCTCGAAATGATTTTGAACACGGTAGAATCATGTGCGGTTTATACAGAGTATAGAACTTTAATAAAGATAAATTACATTAAAGATCAAATCTTTACCACCATAGATGTGGTTTCTAAGGAAACATATATATATATATATATATATATATATATATATATATATATATATATATATATATATATATATATATATATATATATATATATATATAGTATTCTTCCATGGTTTCCCTAACATGAGCCAGATAGCCATCGAATTAGAGTAACCTCAGGAATATCATACAAACTCGAACCCAAGACTTTCCCGTTAGCATTTGTTAGCTTTACATACAATGCTTTCCACGCCGCCCCCCGTCCCCGTCCCATGTGATATCATCATTATTTCCCGTTCGTGCCTACGACACATGGGACATATAAAGCAGTGGCGGAACTAGAAAAAAACGGCTCCAACGCAAAAATAAATTTTAGGCCCCCATATATATATATATATATATATAAATATAAATATATATATATATATATATATATATATATATATATATATATATATATGTTTGTGTGTGTGTGTGTGTGTGTGTGTGTGAGTGTGTGTGTGTTATATATATATATATATATATATATAATATATATATATATATATATATATATATATATATATATATAATATATATATTATAAATATATATATATATATATATATATATATATATATATATATTTAAATATAAATATATATATATATATATATATATATATATATATATATATATATATTAAACTTGATTTATGGAATGGTCTCTAGTGTTCTGTCTGGTTATTTTTATGATTTTTTGTTTTATATTTTATTAATTTTTAGTATATACCTTTTTATAGCTATGGCATTCTATAGTATGTATTATTTGAATAATAATTAAGAGAAGAAATAGCATTTGAATTCATTTAGTACAAAACTATTTAAAATGATTTTAATGGTCACCCCTTTTAGACCATTTAAAGAAGGGCAATAAGTAATGGAAGTAGTATGTACGTTTGCCTATTTTTCACAACACAGCTCATGTCGATTTTTAAAAATATTTTTCTACGCAACAGTGTGTGTTAGTTAATGTAGAACAATCACTGATATAGTAGACCTCTTTTTGTTTTACAAAATTACTATCAAGGTGCACGGAAAACATTTATGAAAATAAAATTCATTAATTTTTGGTCGGAATTGGGCCCTAAATGGCTCGCCCCCCCCCCCCCTCGCATTGCGGGGTCTGGCGGCATGGTAGTTCCGCCCCTGATATGAAATAGAGTTTAGTTGCTTCAGAGACCTCGACATATGAAGGGATATCTTGGTCAGCACTATGCCCAGCCGCTTTTGTTTACCTAGCGTGAGTTAGGTACTCGTCAGAGCTGGGTGGACTCAGGGACTTTCCACTTATTTGAAGCCGGATTTGAACTCAAGACTCTCGCCTCCCCCCCCCCATCGGTGTGATATCCATATTACTATACCGTGATAGCAAGTTGTTGTGTAAGGGTGGTTTTTTTTTTTTTTTAATATATGATAGAGTCATAAAACCTCAGGTGATAAATATCAACGTGCATTGTAGGTTGCCGTGATCGCAGGTGGGGCGATGACTGCAGTCGCGCCTGCAGTCCTACCTGCAATCAAGTCGCCTGTGAAAGATCAAACGGCACCTGTACTTACGGTTGTGTTTGGGGATATCAGGGTCATACATGTCAAGGTAAAATTAAAATATGAGAAATATTAGTAAATCAATTCATCAATTAAATACCAGACCACCAATGGCACACATTCTAAACTTTGCCCGAATAGAGATACGATATTAATTTAAAGATATTTTATTATTAGATTATAACTCTACGGTATTGGTTCTTAGCCTACTAGTTTCATCTTACCCATCAAACACCAGAGGTCCGATTGAACCCAGATTGAAAACCAATCTTCTCTTGTAGTCTATAAAGACGTACATAAGAATAAAATATATTTACTTCAAAAGTCTCAACCATAAAAATAAAGACGTTGTTTAAAAAGCGTGCTAGTGTTTATCAAACAAACACATAACGAGACCCATGAGGCAGGTGAAGTAGAGTTCATCTGTTTCAATGACCTCGGCATACAGGGAGATAATGTGGTGAGCACTATACTCAGGTGCCCAACGTGAGTCAGGTACCCATCCGAGCTGGGAAGACTCAGAGACATCCGCTGGAGGCAAGCCTGGAATCCAAGCTCGAGACTTTAATGGTAGCAGTCGTCAGCTCTACCACCCGACCACGTCGTCCACTAAACTTAGACAATCGATAGACGTAATTCTTTTTTAGGTCAACTATCTCCATTAACATTCTAATTAAAACTAGAAATAAATGAATGTTTAAGTATACGGTGTTATTATATAATAGAAAATTCTACTTTAACTGGTTTTATAATGTATTTAAGAAGAGTAGTACAGGGTGTAAGTTACTCACTGTGAGAGAGAGGTTGGTTACTCACTGTCAGCTGGAGGTTGGTTACTCACTGTCAGGGGGAGGTTAGTTACTCACTGTCAGGGGGAGGTTGGTTACTGTCAGGGGGAGGTTGGTTACTGTCAGGGGGAGGTTGGTTACTGTCAGAGGGAGGTTGGTTACTGTCAGAGGTAGGTTGGTTACTGTCAGAGGGAGGTTGGTTACTCACTGTCAGAGGGAGGTTGGTTACTGTCAGGGGGAGGTTGGTTTCTGTCAGAGGGAGGTTGGTTACTGTCAGAGGGAGGTTGGTTACTGTCAGAGGGAGGTTGGTTACTGTCAGAGGGAGGTTGGTTATTGTCAGAGGGAGGTTGGTTACTGTCAGAGGGAGGTTGGTTACTGTCAGAGAGAGGTTGGTTACTCACTGTCAGAGGGAGGTTGGTTACTGTCAGAGGGAGGTTGGTTACTGTCAGAGGGAGGTTGGTTACTGTCAGAGGGAGGTTGGTTACTGTCAGAGGGAGGTTGGTTACTCACTGTCAGAGGGAGGTTGGTTACTGTCAGGGGGAGATGGTTACTGTCAGAGGGAGGTTGGTTACTCACTGTCAGAGGGAGGTTGGTTACTGTCAGAGGGAGATGGTTACTGTCAGAGGGAGGTTGGTTACTGTCAGAGGGAGGTTGGTTACTGTCAGAGGGAGGTTGGTTACTCACTGTCAGAGGGAGGTTGGTTACTGTCAGAGGGAGGTTGGTTACTCACTGTCAGAGGGACGTTGGTTACTCACTGTCAGAGGGAGGTTGGTTACTGTCAGAGGGACGTGGTTACTCACTGTCAGAGGGAGGTTGGTTACTGTCAGAGAAGGTTGGTCACTGTCAGGGGGAGGTTGGTTACTGTCAGAGGGAGGTTGGTTACTCACTGTCAGAGGGAGGTTGGTTACTCACTGTCAGAGGGAGGTTGGTTACTCACTGTCAGAGGGAGGTTGGTCACTGTCAGAGGGAGGTTGGTTACTCTCAGAGGGAGGTCGGTTACTGTCAGAGGGAGGTTGGTTTCTCACTGTCAGAGGGAGGTTGGTTACTCACTGTCAGAGGGAGGTTGGTCACTGTCAGAGGGAGGTTGGTTACTCTCAGAGGGAGGTCGGTTACTGTTAGAGGGAGGTTGGTTACTCACTGTCAAACCACTATTTTAGAATGTGTTCCTTGGAAGTGGGGTGACACCTGCGAAATAGCCTGCAGCCCAAACTGCCTCAATACTCACTGTGATAATGAGACAGGCGCCTGTATTTATGGATGTATTGACGGATATGAGCCTCCACGTTGTTATGAAGGTAAAATAGTATACTGTGAAAAATGAAAGGAATTGCAGTCATCTCTTAAATCAGTGGCGTAGCCAGGATCGTTTCGATTTGCACCCCCCCCCTCAAATTTTCGGTTTGCACCCCCCCCCTCTCAAACTTTCGATTTGCACCACCCCCCTCTTATACTTTTTATATATACCGAGGGGTCTATGGGGGGGGAGGGGTTATGACCCTTCCGCCCTAACCTTCCCCCTGCCTACGCCACTGTCTTAAATACCCGACTTCTGATGCAGTGATATTTGAAAAGTTGATTAAAACAGTAGATAATGTAATTTAAAATAAGTAATTGTATTGAAAAAGTATATTGTAATCTGTTCACAAACCTATGAAGAGATAATATTATAATCAAGACATTGTAAAGTAAAAATAAATGATTCATTTATCACCATAGAAATCTAATCGCACAATACGCAAATTAGCATTCTGAATATTATACTTTTAAAAAACAACGCTGAGTTATTTAAATTAGAACATTTAAAATTATTTCTTGTTATTTATATTAGGTAAAACATCCGCAGAAATATAATTAGCATTCTCAATTAAAACTATTACATTGATTACAAAGTAGGGCTACTGATATAATAAACATAAATTCTGTGGGCTTATTTTTAGAGTGCGGTAAAGGGTTTTGGGGAGCGAGATGCGAAGAAAACTGCAGTGCACATTGTGTAGAAGACACCTGCAACCATACGGACGGCGAGTGCACGTACGGCTGTGATCCTGGATATAGAGGACCAAAATGTGTACATGGTAATAAGATACCAAAAAAGTTTGTATTGGAAATACTATACAGTTCGATTATGTTACTATGTGTTTGTTTGAAGAATAGAGAATGCAAGATATTCAGTGATGTGGCAATGAGTGGCATTATTTACAAAATCTTTTGTTTTTAAAAAGGATTTTAAATTAAAACACAATTATATATATATATATATATATATATATATATATATATATATATATATATATATATATACATATATATATATATATGTATATATATATATATATATATATGTGTGTGTGTGTTTGTGTATGTGTGTGTGTGGTATATATATATATATATATATATATATATATATATATATATATATATATATATATATTTATATATGTATATATATATATATATATATATATATATATATATATATATATATATATATATATATATATATATATATATATATATGTGTGTATATATATATATATATATATATATATATATATATATATATATATATATATATATATATATATATATATATTCATAGGCCTATATATATAGTATTTATATAAAGTATCAATGTATATATTTTTATCTATATAACATATACATCAACAAAACAATGTATTTTCACAAGCTTTTTATTTAATTGGATTACTCTGTCGTGCTTTTGTCTTGTTTTATAAGCGGTGTAAACCGACGAGCTAAACTTTTACCGGGCATACGTCTTTCAAACCTTACAAAAGCTTTTATTAAAAGATGCTCTAAAATGAAGAAAATGATTGATTTTCATAAAATGTATAAATATGTAACACTATTTAAATAAATCAATAGAAAAGTGTGAGTCGCAATATTATGTATTGAGTACTATGCTAAAATATAATAAGCGACCAACACATTTATAAATAGTTATTTAAAATAGTTGTGCATATTTTTAAGTTGTTTTTTTATCTTTTTAAATCATGTATTTTTTTCCTTTAACTCCTTTAAAAGTATAATTAGATATAAGCTTATTATTATGTTTTATGTTTATTGTGTCATTTTTTTTTTGTTAAACATAATTTCCTTAATTAAAGTTAATTTCAAAGGCTATAAACAAACAATTTTTGTTTAATCTGGAGGCTGGTGTAAGTTTTTAAGGCAGTGTCCTGATAGCTTTAACTAAGGTTTCTTTCACGATTTAGATTTAGCGCTAGTTTTAGTATATCGCAGTTTTCAGCGGGAGAGGGGGGGGGATAAGAAAAAAATAAAATGCAATATTCTTTAACATCTTTCTTGTTTTTTTCCCACTTGTATTGAAACTATATTTCAGAATGTATAGAAGGGTCCTATGGGAGAGACTGCTTTGGTGCATGTTCTGTCTATTGTTTACGCGACCGAAAATGCGACCATGTTAGCGGCTTTTGTAGAAGGGGATGTGTTCCGGGTTTTGTGCCTCCATTTTGTAACGGTTAGTATATTATTAACTTTAAATACTTCTTTTTGATTATATATATATATATATATATATATATATATATATATATATATATATATATATATATATGTTATTACATATGTTATTACTTATAATTATGTAACATGTGCGACTTGAACACAAATATGCGATGACTAGTCTGATCAAGTACATGATGTAACCTAACATATCCTTTGAAAAGACAAACATTGTCTAAGCATGAAAAATAAACCAATCAAAGGCTTTGTTACTAACATACGAGTTCCAAACATAATTACAGCTAAAGTTGTTGAAATTGTCTCCTACGTCTAGGGTTATTGTTCGGATAATGGTTAGGATTTCTCACCCACTAAAGTCTATCATAATTTGCATTTTAGACCCCTGCCCCGATGGTACCTGGGGTCTCGGCTGTTCCAAAACCTGCAGCCCACATTGCTTAAAGAAGGATCGCTGCTACGTTAGAGATGGGGCCTGCATTGGCAGTTGTGAAGCAGGCTACAGGATCCCTAACTGCACTGATGGTTATTAAACTTTTTTTTGAAAATTAACACGAATGCTTCTCTACTGCTAGGCGGTAAAACGTAAAACATAACCGAGCCTATTTATAAATAACATTGAGAGTAAATTAATTTTGTTAAAATGATATTTTAATTTCTGTTTATTAGATTTTGGTCTAGGCTATTTGTTTTTTTAAACAACCTGTTTTAAACTAGCATCAGATAATTGTTATTATAAAATATTTTGATCTTCCAAAATTGATGTCCGATTCTTGACACAGTGATAGTTAGATCAAGTGCTTGTATATGTGTTTATGCTATTGTGTGTGAGTGAGAGAGAGAGGTAGAGTGTATTTGTGGCGGGGATACATTCGTACATATATATATATATATATATATATATATATATATATATATATATATATATATATATATATATATATATATATATATATATATTATTTATTTATATATATATATATATATATATATATATATATATATATATATATATATATATATATATATATATATATATATATATATATATATATATATATATATATATATGTGTGTGTATGTGTGTGTGTGTGTGAATGTGTGTATAAGTGTCTGTACGTGTTACCGGCGATGTTTAAAAACCGTCATTCTAATTAATCCGTATACGATTACGAAAAAGTAAGAAATGCATCATATTTCTATTAGGTATATATGTATGTATTTCAGCATGTAGTGCTGGGACATGGGGATATGGTTGCGAAATGCTTTGTAGCCCAAAGTGCATGAACAAAGAAAAATGCAATGCTTTAAACGGTACTTGTGATGGAGGTTGCACCGCAAGCTTCAGGCCACCTGATTGTAATCAAGGTAATATACGTCATGATGGTTATACAGAAGACAGTGGGATCAATTGGTACAGCTGACGACTGCTGGCACGAAAGTCTCGATTTTAAATCCCAGGTTCGAGTCCATTCAGCTGTGATGTAATACATACGTCACGTTAGGGAAACTAATGCGACTGGACCAAGTACTGACCACACTATCATCTCCAATGTCGAGATAATTTAAACTTGAGAACTTTAAATCCATCTGCCCCGTGTATCTAAACCAGTGGTCTCCAAACTTTTCAGCCCAAGGGCCGCATTAACTATCAAATATCAGTTCGGGGGCCAGTTCCTTCCAGGCATCTCTTTGGGAGTGGCGTAACCCCCCCCCCCCCCACCCCCCCCCCCACCACCCCCACTCCTCACCGAAAAACATATACCCCCTGTTTCCCCGAACACCCCAACGAAATATAAATTATATAGAAATATATCTAAATTTCAGCGACTCATCCATTGCAATTGAAAAATGGCGAAACTTGCTTGCATTTTTCGCTATTTGAGTCACAATGTTTTCACAAATGTCTGCAACACGGCGGGCAATGGTATTTGCACCCAAAGCTTACTACATTTTCAAATCAAATTGTTTTGAATTTTCTGGGAACCTCTAACAAACATTTTTTCCGTGCACACAAATATCTCCGCGGGCCGGATGAGAGGACATCACGGGCCGCATCCGGCCCGCGGGCCGTAGTTTGGAGACCCCTGGTCTAAACCAAAACCAAAATCACCACCTCAACTTAAAATTTAACCGAAACCAAAATGTCATTTAAAACTAAATTTCATCCAGAATCGGCATTTTAACCATATCCTGAAATGTAACTTGAAATAAAACACCTAATAACACCAACCTTAATCATGATACTACCTACTTACTACATATATATTACTTTTCTTTTATTTGTATATCTACATTCCCTTCTAAAATTAGGTGTTTTAATTTTTGTCTCTATTATCAATGACCTCATTATTATTGTTTATTGATTTGGCATTCGATTTTTAATTATGTTTTATTTTATTCAACAATCAATGAGGCTAATCTATTTTTTTTAAAGACGCTAAATGCAGACATTGCCTCAATACTTTATCTGGTAACCTTGATTTACTGTACACTAATCCTAAATATAGTCGTTGTCATACGCTTAACCTTGCACCTAAGCTCAAACTTGACAAAAGTCGCATTCAGAGTTTCTTTCAGGCAACTCTTTGGAAAAAACGTCAACCGCCCCCTAAAACGAAATAGAATGTAATGCATTATTTTCTTCTTTGTTCCTAAATCTAGTGTTTGTAAGGGATTCCTTTCAACACAACTAAGCATCACGTGTCATACTTGTTAGACGCTGACTCCGATTTCAGCCCGCTTTTTTCTGCATTTGTTTCCATATCTTTTGTCCAACCAAGAACTAACTACAAGGCGGCAGTTGTTTGATTATATAGTTTTCTCTTCTAAATGAGTTGATGTCCTCTGCTATCGAGAATACGTGTCCGGGGGTTCGAACGTGAGACTTTAAGATTTAGCACCCATGAGCATTACCGACTTGACCACGCCGACCCTTAAAGCAACTTAAAAAGTATCTTTTTGTCCAAGAAACATGTTTTATGCCCGTGTTCTAGTTTGTTTTTAAATGTTGGAAATATATTCCAGTTTGCCGTAAAGGAACATGGGGTGATAACTGCAAAAATATATGCGACCAGAGTTGCCCAAAGGGCATCTGCAATCGTATAAACGGGACATGCATTCAAGGTAAGTATAAAGTAATTATATGACACATTCAATTACAATTTAGAAGTAACATTTCTCAAAAGTATTAAATCTCAAAAGTATCGTGCCTCAAATGTACCATGTCTCAAATGTACCATGTCTCAAATGTATCATGTCTCAAATGTACCATGTCTTAAATGTACCATGTCTCAAATGTACCATGTCTCAAATGTACCATGTCTCATCGTACCATGTCTCAAATGTACCATGTCTCAAATGTACCATGTATCAAATGTACCATGTCCCAAATGTACAAATCATTTAGTAACATCCTGGTCCGGTATCTTCAATGCAAGATATACTCTACCTGGAATTCTAGTTTCGTAGAATTAAGGGGACAAGATACCCATGTTTTCGATAAAATTTTAATTTTGCTCCCCAAAACTGTTATTACTTAATCCGGTACTAATACCGTTTATCTATCTAACCCGAACATAACGGCTATCCGTTTAATGCGATGTGAAACATGGTTACCAGCCCCCCCCCCCCACCACCCCGGCAAGTTTTCACACTACTATTCGGACAGCGGCTATTTTCAAGCGGGTATTACATAATTTATTGCCCGTGAGGCACCATAAGCTTTACAGCTTAATCTATCGACCAAGCACTCGTCTACCCGCTGGTGTAAGGCTGGTAAGTAGGTCACCAACCAGTTCTATGGCTCATGCAGGTTTTATAGAGTCCTTTCATATGACGTCACGTCCGTTCGTGATACCTACGCCCGCCGCCACAGTGGTGTACACAAGACGTAAACACAATCAGCTGTTCGCCAGCGCTGGACGTGTTCACCAGCGCTGGACGCGTTCACTGTATGTAAAGAACCGCACTCGCGGAAAAGGAAAAATACGTTAAAAAACTTGAACTCTTAGGAATTGAAGATCCTTATATTGACAGTTTCGTATAAATAAATATGTGGACAAAATTTCTAAATAAAAATACTGTTAGTAATACTGTTTGCGTTTAGAGTTAAAGTAGCCGAATCTGATCAAATGCAGTTCTCGATACTTTGTTTCATGTAAGGACAGTAAAATAATAAACTTCATTTTAATTATAAAAGATAACTATTAATAAAACAAATATGCTCGACCTTCACAAATACTAATAGTAAAAGACAAAGTCAAAAGTAATAGGCTAATAAGAATAATAAGATCTAATAGTAGGCCTAATACCTGGCTCCGCTGGGTAGACATAGAATCTAGAATCTACTTCTTTACTTAAATTTAATTACTTTAGATCTACATTCGATTCAAAATACACCCATAATAAATCAAAAGTAGTCATAATAGGCCTAATAAAGCATTTAATTGTCTCTAAGATCTAAAATCTCGCTCTATTATCTAATCATTTTTTTAGCAAACGAAATTTTCTGAAATTGAAATAGATTATATGACTAGACTTAGATATAGAATCTGCTACTTAAATTAAATCTAGATCATACCAGCCAACAACAAATAACCACATTATTATTATTTGGTTAATGATTAGGCTAAATTTTTTTAAAAATCCACTGTTTATAAAAGAAACAAATCAAGCTAGAAACATTATAAGTGAGATGGTTTAGAATAATAGCAATGGACCCAGTCTACAATTGATACAATTGCAGGTCTACATAGGGCCTACAGTCTAGTAGTTTACAGTAGGCACCTAGTGTGTAGCTAGTATACTAGTGTGTAGCTGTCCAGAGTTAAGATTCTTAATGCCTTAATGCTTTCCCCTGATAAGCCGTGTGTGCTATAAATGACATAACATGACACCGAGGTGAGAAGTGTTGAGGGGAGAGCAGTGGGACTTTCCCCTTTGTTCTCCCTGCTGGGCCCTGAGGGTCAAAATTATATAAGAAATACTATCTCTGTGGGGCTGGGTATCACGGAGGTGAGACATTTTCAGGGGAGGGCAGGGCAGACTCCTCTTTGGTTTTATTGTGGGCTAGATACAGGTGGGGGCAGCCATCATGAGGGTTGAACGTCAGTATTAATGTGTCTGATCACTTCCCTGCTGGATTATAAGGGTCTTAAATTGTATAACATGCTACCCAGATTGGTTATTACCCATGGATTATATTAGCCGTTGTAGTGTACGTTTTGTAGGAGTTAAGTGGTCTCACGTTTGCTACAGTAGATAACCTCTAATATATTACTGCATTTGATCAGCTTCGTCTACGTAAACTCTAAACGCAAACGGTATTACTAACAGTATTTTTATTTAGAAATTTCGGCCACATATTTATATTATCCACGAAACTGTCAATAACTGTATAAGGATCTTCAATTCCTAAGAGTTCAAGTTTTTTAACATATTTTTCCGCGGGCGCGATTCTTTACATACGGTGAACACGTCCAGCGCTGGCGAACAGCTGATTGTGTTTACGTCTGATGTACACCACTGTGGCGGCGGGCGTAGGTATCACGTGATTTAGGTCACGTGTTTGCAAGGACTCTATTGAGCCGTAGAACTGTTTATTGACCTACTTACCAGCCCTGTAGTGACCTTTTCTTTTGTTCTAAAAATTAGAGGGATAGAAGTTGCTTTCTACAAAGTAAAATTTTATGTTAAACTCCATATAAGGGCATGCGCGTAAAAATTATGAATGGGATGAGATTCATTGACACGCTTGACCAATCATATTATAGTACAGTAAATCAAAATAATTCACGATAGGTTGCAACTAACCACGTGTGCTAGGCAGCCATCTTGTTTCTAGATAAACAAAACAATCGCATGTCTTCGTTTGTTTACTTTATTTGCATACACTCTTCTATTGGTTGTTTTAAAATTATACAACAACATTTTGGTTAAAGCGCTGTTCGAACATGATCTAGGACATTACCCCCCCCCCCCCACTCCCTGGTTGTTGAGCAACGGGTGGGGACGGGTGTGAATGGTCGTCGGGTTAATTTCCGGAGAGGAGTGGGTAACGTCCTGCCCCCACTCAATCATTAAGTAGTTTGCTCAAGCAGAAATTGCTTGTACAAGAAAACGTCAGCTTGATGGTTTTAAAAATTTAAATTAATTCATAAAAAATTAATTACGAGACCAATTAAGTCAAATTGAATGTCACAATGCATTGTCTTCATGTCTGGACCCACGTACCAATTACGAACCGAATCTGTTAGTTAGAAGTGCCTGCAGTTTCACGCGGGCGTTTCGATCTAGACAGACTGGCGAGAAAGTGAGTGCAATAAAAGCTTGTAAAAAAGGAGGGCATCACTCACTTTAATCGTGAATTTTATTTTCTTTAACAGAGGCGGATATCAAGGGAGACCTCAGCGACATGCTGCTGACAATGATGATACTGAAACATTTACAGGAACAACGTTGAAACCATTACAAGCAATAACAGCAATTACAACGAAAACAGGCATTACAAGCATCAACAACCAGTTGTATTTGATCAAATAAATTGACTATTAAAAACCGTTTTGAATATTTTTTTGCAGAAAGTGATAATTCGAGTTTATTCGATCTACTCTTTGAACAGAGGTGGCATTGTACATGTATAAGATGTGAAGAATGAATAGGGGGTCTTCCCAATGTAGTTAGTCATATGTACTACGAATGACCATATGTATATCTTGCAACATTGTAGTACGATTCACCGTACTTGCATAAGGTGAAGGAGTATAGCACTGTTAACTACAAATGCAGTTCTGAGCTTGTTTCTTATACGTTTTTTAGACCAGACCAAACCAGACCAGACAAGGCTATACCAGAAAGGACCGGACCAGACCAGACCAGACCAGGCCAGACCAGGCCAGGCCAGACCAGACCAGGCCAGACCAGACCAGACCAGACCAGACCAGGCCAGGCCAGACCAGACCAGACCAGGCCAGACCAGACCAGACCAGGCCAGACCAGACCAGACCAAACCAGACCAGACAAGGCTATACCAGAAAGGACCGGACCAGACCAGACCAGGCCAGACAAGACCAGACCAGACCAGACTAGACCAGACCAGACTAGACTAGACTAGACTAGACTAAACCAGACCAGACTAGACTAGACTAGACTAGACTAGACTAGACTAGACTAGACTAGACTAGACTAGACTAGACTAGACTAGACTAGACTAGACTAGACTAGACTAGACTAGACTAGACTAGACTAGACTAGACTAGACTAGACTAGACTAGACTAGACTAGACTAAACTAAACTAAACTAAACTAAACTAAACTAAACTACACTAAACTATCTTGTCCTAAGGGTGCATGTCTACACGAATAAAGTGGTTTACATTTTGGATGAGGGGGGGGGGGGGCAAAAATTCGTTATGCGTGATAAGCTATGTGTGGTAAGTTGAGCCCTCGTTGGTCCGACGTATGGGGGCAGCACAGAATGCAAAAATGGCGAGGTTTATTGAATTGTATTGTATGTTATGTTCGTGTTTAATGTGATTAGCATGGTGTCTTAATCCGTATGGTGTGTGTTGTATATTTATTTGTGTGAGTCGTGATATCCCTTGTGATGTGTTGTTATACATATAAGTATATCGTCGTGTTTTGTGTTGTTATAGATTGAACTTTTTTATAGTGCACCATGTTGCACAGGGATGGTTTTATTGGAGGAGTGGTAAGGGTTAGGCTATATAAAAAAAAAGTCAGTTCAACACTGCAAAATCCATTTTCTACCTAGATAGGGATAATGATTATTAGGACTAATAGAGGAGTTGCTAGTGTGTATTTGTAGAATAGGTTTATGGTATTACATATTAATCCCCGCAAATGAATTAAATTAAAATTCCTGCACCATAATTTATATGATGAGAAAATATTTACATGCGTTCTGGATATGAAACACATTACTATAATAGTTTCGCTATTTAGTCTGGGACGGACATTGGTAAAAGTATATTTTCTGTTATATATTCAATTTCGTTATAGGGGGCGGTAGACGTTTTTTTGGGGTGCTCCTTCCAACCCCCGAAGAGTTGCTTGAAAAAAACTTTAAATACGCCTTTTGACAAGTTTGAGCTTAGGTGTAAGGTTTAGGGGTATGGCTACGACTATACTTAGTATCAATAAGTAGTAACTACGTGTAGATCAAAGTCGAATCGGGTTAACATGCCAACTCTGGACAAAAATCCTTTTCAATTATACTTTTTTTGTTTTCGGTTAAATTTGAAGTTGAGGTGGTGATTGTGGTTTTGGTTTCGGTTCAGCAAGAAAGATAACACTATCAAACTAGCGCCCGTTTTATTTCTCCCTCAACGGGACATTTATCTAGTACATTTAATATCGATACATATTATTTCTCTCTAAATTTTTCAATTATGATTCAGATTATTACATCTATAGAATTAACTAACCATGTAGCCATCTTTGTATTGTACAAATGTAGAGGTAATCTCTAATACACTGTGGCTGGCTTTAAAGGGTCTTTTGACATACAGGTAATAAAGAATTTACTTATTTGGATATATTGTTCAAGAACACATGTATACCGATCATTGGCTGAACAAGCAAAAAAAACAACTTTTATACCCTTCACGTGGCATGTTTAAGGGGTTAGGTTGGAATGTAGGAAGGGTGGTTGGGTGGTTTTGGTTTTGATTGTTAAAAAGTATGTAGCTTCGATTGGTTTATGGTGTTGGAAGGGTTGAGTTTCGGTGTATTATTTCACCTTCTCTTATTATCTCCCCTTATTACATTTTAGTATCTCATTTTGTATAAGTAATATTCATCCAGTGTAGCATTTTGCGCAGTTTTATTGGAATGTAGCTTGGTTGTTGCTCTGCTACATTTCTACATTTAGTGTATACTTTTTTTCTAAACTTATATATAAAAATAATGTGGTCGAATAGCAAAGGGAGGTAACGTTATTGATGAGATTTCGTGCAGGAATACAACAATCAAGGAAAGATACGCAATCATGGTTTTAGTTTTTTAATAAATGAAACAGGCAATTTAAAATTAAACCTGGTTCGACTTTCTGCCACTCCCCCACTCTTTAGGCCTATAAGGTTCACACACACACACACACACACACACACACACACACACACACTCATACACATACACACAAACACACACACACAAACAAACACACACACACATACTACTAAAAATTTCGCCCATGCTTAAATTAGCCCCTACTTATTGGATTTCGACTAAGTAATGGAAATAGACGAAGATGCTTGCCAATCTTTTAACTCTATTTTGTGTAACTTTGTTTCCACCTATCGCGTTTTTACTGTTCAAAAGGGATGTCAGAATTAAAGCAAGTTAAATATGAACTTAACGCTAATAAATTCGAGAGGGGGTTAATGAACAATATATAAAATATAGTTTTTCTATATACATTTATTCATCCATGGCATCGATAGTACCCCACCCCCACTCCGCATAACCGTCCTCACAGTTCATTAGGTTTACGTGTCCACAAGCGATAGGATATAGGATTTGACAATTATACTCGTCGCTTAATGCTGTATTCTCGTTATCACAGTTTTGTGCATACACTGGTGTTCCCCGACACAATGTAATTGTATAAATGTAATGATACTTCTAATCTCAAAGGCATGACTGATTTAATATTCAAACTAATTATTAATTCGGAAATCCGATAATACCTTTTTCCTTTATTCTGTGTGTTCAATCCTTCTAACAAGGATTGGTGATTGCTTATTTGGGCGCAATGCGATTACAGTTAGAAAAGTTATTAAGCATCATGTTTTACATATTAATATAATGTATTTTCATATGGGCTGATTCCATTTTGTTTCATATCCAGCTAAACCAACAAACTTATCAGGTTTACAGCTGAACTAAAATTTACTGTGTGCGGAATGCATGTAACAGATTTTGTGTTGTGTTCTTAATTAAATTCCTTTCTTTTGTGTCGAATATCTTCATGGAGTTATCAATACGATTGAAATTACATTTTGAGGAGAATCTAGACCAAAATAACACACATTCTCATAATCACACATACAGAGAGAACTATAATTCTCGACTTTTTTACGAGAAAACGTCTTAAAATAGACCCTAACTATAGTTCGAACAAGGTGACCGGAAAGATGCGCAATGAAAAAATGCGCACAAAAACATACGCAGGAGCATTTTTGTTTTCTTAAATCGAGCTTTTTCAGACATTAACAAAGAGTGACTACATGTACATTGTAGCATAATAAAACTTATTTTAACGAAATATGACAAAATTAAAATGTATTCGTATAATTAGTTTGTATTTGCGCATTTTTCTGTTTTCAGTTGCGCAGTTTTCCGATAGTTCATTTTTTTTGGGAACCCTGGAAAAAATATCTAATTTAATATTAAACTTAAACAGCATAAAAACTTATCAAAGTTTAAACATCGCCATCTATTCAACCAAATTTAACGTAGCAAATCTTGTAAAGATAAACACATCATGACATTAAGCCAAGTCGGGAGAAGGACTAAACCTTTAATTATCACCAGCTATATCATGGAAGATTTATCAAGGTTTCCCTCACCCTGAATAATTTCCAATCCCGACCCAAAACTGCAGAAAGACATTACCAACCTGTCGATTATTAACTAACCCTCAACCAGATAGGCATAGGATTAATGATAAGGTTTTGCTTAGGGTTTGGCGTTTAGGTTAGGGTTGGTGTTAGTTCAGTGACCCGTTATACGGCAATTCTTTAAACATAACGTTTATTAGCCAATGCATACAATAGGATTAAATGACTGTTGAATACTGACCACACCCATCATGGTAACATTCGCAGAGTATTTTGGTCACGTGGGTTTATTGAATTTTTTTCTTTTTCTTTTTTTTCAAACCCTTATCACAATAACCCCAGTTGCAATCAGTAAAGCTGCAAGGTGAAAAACGTAACAAATACAATCAACGTAGACTTATTCAGTTAATTAAAAAGAAGGTAAGTAGTAGAAACGTGTTTGTGAATTTATGTTGTGCATAATTATTGTTGCCAGTTTTACAGTCCAACGTGGTAATGTTTTTAAAATATTAAGTTTGTTTTTGACGTAACCGAATACAATATAATTTTTAAAAGATGTTCGCATACCTCGCATATAACTGACCGAACCTAACCAACAGTAACCTAAGAAATAAACTTCCAAAGCTTGTAGTGGATGCTTGCTATTGAAATCAATGTACCGTACCGTACCGTACCGTACCGTACCGTACCGTAACGTACCGTAACGTACCGTAACGTACCGTAACGTAACGTAACCTAACCTAACCTAACCTAACCTAACCTAACCTAACCTAACCTAACCTACCCTACCCTAACCTAACCTAACCTAACCTAACCTAACCTAACCTAACCTAACCTAACCTAACCTAACCTAACCTAAGCTAACCTAACCTAACCTAACCTAACCTAACCTAACCTAACCTAACCTAACCTAACCTAACCTAACCTAACCTAACCTAACC